GGGGGGGGAACGGGATTTAGAATTACGTGGCCTGGGATGGATTCTTTTTCTTCTTCTTTTTGGCCCATGGTCTTGTCTTTTTTTAGTCTGTGAGGCAGAAATGGGGGTTTCTCGGAACACTCAAAGTTCTCTCGTCGTCTGGGTGCTAACCCTCAATGTTTAAAAATACCTGATGGGAAAAAAAAAATTGATTTTCATATCTTTCTCCTGAAATAAATTGTTTGAAATTGGAATAAAATTCATTCCTTTAAAAAAAGAAAGAGAAATCTGGCTTGTTTTTTTTTTCTCCTCCCTGCATGTGCCCCAACTTCTTTGTTAGAAAATTTGGCTACCATCTTGAATTAAAGTGGGTCCTCCACTTTCACTGGGATTAGGGGTGCAGGAACTCCCATGAAAATGGGAAAATTGCAAACAAACAAACCAAAAAACACTCTTTTTAACTTGAAAAGCACATCTAGGAATTTCTAGGTCATCTAGTGCATCTGTGTGGTCAACATGCAGAAATTCATAGAATTCCGCTGGAGGACCAAGAAATGCCTAGAGAAGGGTTTTCTATTTCTATGGGCAACCTCCGGCCGAGGCACACTAGAGGACTTAAAGAGATTTCTAGGGAGAAGCTATTACTCAAAACCGTGAATAATCAAATCCATCAAAGTCAAATGTAGAGGACCAATTACTGTTTGCTGTTCACTTTAGGGATGGAATGAGTTTTGTTTTGTTTTTTAATTGAAAAATGGGAAACATTTTTTCTCAGGTGTAAATTTGTGTCAGAGAATGCAGAACTGAAAAGCATCTTTGTAGTTTAGGATTTAACTGTGCAAAATTTGCACACATATTTTGTAGAAATACAGTTTTCTATGTGGAAAATTACCTGTAAGTTATCTGTGCAAAACAGGCGGATTTTGCACAGAACAAATCCCGAACTGCAAATAGTCTTGAGGATGAAATTAGTGTTACATTGCTACTTCAGAGTTGGATACACTTGCTGATCTGCTGCAATATCAGATCTGAATCTACTTTCCATTCCTGTGGCTGAGTTTTAGTTTCACTGATAAAATTAGATAACAAAATACTTCCTTAGCCTCATACCTGTCAGCAGAAGTAAACTTTATACAGATATCCCAAAAGAAGGCATTTATCCTTTTGTGTTTAAAGCGCCTATCTTGTTCACTGTAGGGAGTACTTGCCGTAAGTATCTACTCACAAGTCAAACGTTTTGATCTCTTATGCTGTATTCGAACTGTTGGGAGTCTGGCTTAATATCATAGTGACTCTCAAAAGATCATACTTTTTTCAGGGATTACCCTGGAACCTTCTTGAAGGGATTTGGGGGACCATTTTTCTCCCTCCAAGTATTCCAGGGACTGCCACCATATTTGTACCGATTAATTACAATTTTTTTCTTTCCTGGAAACTTGCTGTATGACTGGGGTGGGCAACTGTGGAAGGTTAGGAGGTTGAGACCTTAGAGCAGTTGTTCCCAAACTTGGATCCTTCAGGTGTTTTGAACTTCAACTCCCAGAAACCCCAGCCAGCTTGGTTAACCGTCAGGAATTCTGGGACCTGAGGTCCAAAACTTGGCGACATTGCCTCCCGTACCCCCTGGAGATCGTTTTGGGGCAAAAACCATTTTTTGGAAATTCTTTTTGGAAATTGTGTCTGACCCTTTTCAACTCAAACCTGCTGGAAATGTGCCCCACAGTCCCAGTGGTCATTTTGGAACATTTTTAAAAAATTGTTCTATTACTGCTGTGGTCCTCGAGAAATGGCCCAGGGGCTACAGGTGGCCTACAGGCCACACTTTGCCAACGCCGGCTGTAGACTGAAAGCCAGTACCTGGTGGACCATTGGTGGTCCATGAGCCGTCACATTGGAGTAGAACAAGGCTAAAGTACTGTCTGAATATTTGTAATTGATGTTCTACCACAGATAAACAGAACACATCTCACTCCAAAAGTAATCTCATTGTCCGAATACGTCTAGCAAGGAAGTCCACAAAGGCTGGGTCATCACAAGACTATAGACACAAGACTCTCCCAGTTCTGTAATGGACAGAGAGATCCTCCAAGTTGCGGTGTCGATAACGGATGAAAGGAAACCAAGATCCCAGTTGAATACTTGGAGCAGAACCTTTGGATTCTTGACTTGGGAGTTGTGAGAGGCAAGGATGTGGTAAGTAAGGCAATTGCCATTGGTTTTTGGTCACCTCTTGTCTTTATGGGTATCCAGTGGTTGGCCCCAGTGTCGTTCCCAAACAGAGCTTGTAAGTGGACCCCTACAAACCCATAGATGTGGGATAGAGACTGTGAGAGGTTGTTGAGTTGGTCTGTATTCCAGGTGTGGAAGTCAAAAACACCAACACAAGCTTGAGTCATCTTCCATTCAGACATGCACCATTGTGCCAGACAAAATACTGAAGATGGAGGTGGACCCAGTCCATGTTCAGTTTGGTAGAAGCTAATTTGATAATCCTGATGAGAAATCTGTATTTAGGCTCAGGTCCATGTTATTTGAATGACCAAATTTTCCCATAGGAAAGCCAATGTGGCATAGTGGTTTGAGCCTTGGACTAGTACTCTGGAGACCAGGGTTCGAATCCCTGCTTGGCCATGAAAACCTACTGGGTGACCCTGGGCAAGTCTCACTCTCTCAGCCTCAGAGGATGGCAATGACAAAAACCCCTCTGAACAAAACTTGCCAAGAAAACCCCTGTGATAGGTTCGACTTAGGGTCACCATAATAGGTCAAAAATGACTTGATGGCACACAAGAATAATTTTCCCATAGTGCCATTAAACAAAGATATGATAATTTTAGCAAGCCACTAGATGTCACCAGAGAACACAAAAGTTTTGAATCCATCTAACACAGTGATTCTCAAACTTTGGTCCTCCAGATGTTTTGGACCTCAGCTCCCAGAATTCCTAACTGTTGGCCTAGCTAGCTGGGGCTTCTGGGAGTTGAGGTCCAAAACACCTGGAGGACCAAAGTTTGGGACAGATCCAGCGTGGTATAATGGTTTGGATGCTAGACTAGAACACTGGAGGCGAGGGTTCGAATCCCCACTCAGCCATGGAAACCCACATTAGGCAAAGTCACACTCTCTCAACCCCAGAGGAAAGTCATGACAAAAAAGCCTCTCTGGATAAATCTTGCAAAAAAACAAAACAAAACACATGATGGGTTTGTCTTTTGAGCACCATAAATTGTAAGTGATTTGAAGGCATATAGTAAAGACCTAAATACTATAAAAGGCACCAGATCCTGTCTGATCTTGGAAGCTAAGCAGGGTCCTACCTGGCTAGTATTTGGATGGCAAACTACCAAGAACTACCAGTTGATGGAGGCAATATTTCAGAGGATGAAACAGGCAAAACCACCTCTGAGTCTTCCTTGCCTAAGAAAACCCTAAGAAATTCATGGGGTCACAGGTAACTTGGAGGCACATGCATACACGTACACAAAGTTTGCACGTTACCCCATTTATGCTCCCAGTGTGCCCCTCCTTAATCCAGGAGAGCATGGGTCTCCTTCAGTTGTGGTTGGATCTAAAAATCCCATGATCCATCAGCTGTTGTTTCTGCTTTTCAGGGATCATGGGAGCTGCAGTCCATCAACTTTTGGAGGGCTACCCCTGTTCCACCCTATGTCTAAAGTCCTAACAGCCTGAAATGGAAAGAGAAAGTGGTAGCCTCTCATTTTTAAACAGAGGTTGGTTAACCTGTGTTGGTTGGGGGTTGGACTAGTTAGCCCTTGAGTTCCCATCCATCTCTGCAAGTCTGTGAGGGTTTTATTGCTGGGATATCCTCTATTAAATTAAACATGAGCTTAAACATGAGTGATATCCCTCTTGCAGTGCAAACTCTGTTTCATCGACTTGCACAGCGAGGAACACAGCATCTTTTCCATTTTCTTATTCCTACCTGAGCTCCATCTCTTCCCAGTTTTGATTTCTGTGCTCCAAAAGGGTCAGATCTTTATTTCTCTTCCTCCCATGCTAGGGATACAGAAGATACACACAAAATGGTTGAGCTGAGTCCAAGGCATTTATATTCCCTTGTAATCCCTGTACAAGGATGGGGCCTGTTAATTATCCTAATTTGGGTGAGAGAGAGCTCCTCTGCCATCCCACTTTCTCAGTTGCTTTTAAAATGTCCTAGTTTCTTTGTCCTCTCTGTGGTTCTCAACTTATTTCCATTGCTGCAAGCTGAATTCAAAGTGCAAAAGTAGTTAAAGTAGTGTCAAACTGCTTTCATTCTTCAGCGTGGCTATACCCCAAAAAAGAATTACAATGAGGAAAAGTTCATCTGCTAGGTGGTATAATCCCTGGGGACAAATATGGCAAGTTACTGACAATATTGAGTCAGACAGGTTGAGTAATTGAGTAGAATCATAGAGTTGGAAGAGACCTCAAGGGCCACCCAGTCCAATCCGCTGCCGTGCAGGAACTCACAATCAAAGCATCCCCAACAGATGGCCATCCAGACTCTGTTTAAAGACCTCCAAAGAAGGAGACTCCACCAAACTCCGAGGGAGTGTGTTCTTACTGCTGGGAAGTTCTTCCTAATGTTGAAGTGGAATCTCTTTTCCTGTAGTTTGCATCCATTCTTCTGTGTCCTATTCTCTGGAGCAGCAGAAAATGTTTAAGTCCTCCTCAGTAGGACACCCCTTCAAAGACTTAAACAGGGCTATCGTATCACCTCTTAGCCGTCTCTTCTCCAGGCTAAACATACCCAGCAGCTCCCCAAGTCTCTCCTCATGGGGCTTGATGGTTTCCAGGCCCTTCACCATTTTGGTCACCCTCCTCTGGATATGCTCCTGCTTCTCAACTTCCTTTTTGAATTGTGGTGCCCAGAACTGGACACAGTATTCCAGGTGAGGTCTGACCAAAGCAGAATAGAGTGGCACTATTACTTCCCTAGATCTGGACACTATACTTCATGTACTATATATTGATGCGTGTAAGTCACCCCGGTTGTGTTACATACAGAAGTGGGATACAAAATAATAATAATAATAATAATAATAATAATAATAATAATAATAATAATAATAATAATAATATGCATCCTAGGATCACATTGGCCTTTTGAGCTGCCACATCACACTGTTGGTCCGTGTTCAACTTGTGATCTACTAGGACTCCTAGATCCCTTTCACATGTAGTCTTATTAAGCCAGGTGTTCCTCATCCTATATCTGTGCATTTCATGTTTTCTGCCTAAGTGCAGTACGTTACATTTCTCCCTGTTGAAGTGCATTTTGTTAGTTTTGGCCCAGCATTCTGATCTATTAAGGTCATTTTGAATTTTGATCTTGCCATCTGGAATATTAGCTATTCCTCCTAATTTGGTATCATCTGCAACTTTGATAACCATGCCTTCTATTCCTTCATCCAAGTTATTGATAAAGAGGTTGAATAGCACTGGGCCCAGGACAGATCCCTGTGGCACCCCACTGGTCATTTCTCTCCAGGATGAAGAGGAGCCATTGCTGAGCACCCTTTAGGTTCGGCTGATCAACCAATTGCAAATCCACCTAATGGTTGCACTGTCTAGCCCACATTTTAGTAGCTTGTAATATGGGTTTATCATCAAAAGACTGGCCTTGGAAGGAAGACTTAATCCTTTGAAATTGATTGCTCTAACTCTGGGAGGATTCATGCTTTTTGGATCATCCATCATCCCTCACTATGTGAGTGAGAGGCTGATGGAAGGTATGGACAGAGGTCCAAGATGACTCGATGGTATCCACAATTTTGCGAGTCAAACCTAAAACAGTTCCAGCTGCAACATAACCATATCGAAAGCACCCCTGAGAGATGATCATCCAACTTCTGTTTACAAGCCTCCAAAATCTCCTTTTTTGGAGGTTTTTCAACAGAGAGTGGGTAGCCATCTGTCAGGGATGCTTTGTTTGTGTGTTTCTGCATGGCAGAAGGGGGGTGGATTGGATGACCCTTGGGGGTCTCTTCCAACTCTATGATTCTGTGAAATGTCCCATGCTAGGTGCTTGACAGACAAGCCATTTCCTCAGAAGGAAAGGATTAAACACATTCACCAAAAAACTTGACAAAATCTCTCCTATGGTTGGCACAAGCCCAAGCGAAGGGGCCCAGCCAGTAGCCACAAAAATGGAAGGAAAATGTTTCCTTTCAATAGGAGACAAAGGAGCAGCCCAGCCTTGGCAGCTTGAAGCCTACCATCGTCAGCTCCACACCCGGGTGTTTATAAGAAGGCCCTCATGTTTAGAGAACTGGCGTACTTGGTTGACAGCTCCAAGGGAAGAACGGAAAGAGGATATCCAGACCTTGCCATCCATCATGCCTCTTAAGCTGGCAGATTCCTGAGAACAAAGCCGGCCAGAAGGCTAAACATTTGGGCCACCCAGATTTGGACCACTGGAGTCTCTCTTCTCTGACCATCCTTTGAATTCAGCATTGTGGGACCTCTTTGGGTTTCCCTTGTATCCGATTGCCCAGCCTGCATGAGGGTTGGATTAGATGACCTTCGTGGACCCTGTTTCACCATAGGTATCTAGCACTGCATGAGAAAACATCATTCTCTCTGTATACCATTCATAATTTTGG